GTCTCCCTGAATAGAGTGCTGTGGTCTTATAGCTCACAGCAACCTCCAAGTTGGGCTCAAGCAATCCTCTTGCTTCAGTTTTTCTATAGTAGAGACAGGGTCTTGCTTTTTGCTCAGGCTGATTTCTGAACTTGTGAGCTCAAGTAATCTACCGGCCTCTGCCTCCCATAGTGCTGGGATTACAGGTATGAGCTGCTGTGCCTGGCCCATAATAGTCTCTTACCCTTTTTATTTCTTTGGCATATTAAGTTTAAGGTCTGTTCTTTCATTTCTGATTTTTTTTTCCCTTGAGATTTAGTCTCATTAAGTCACCCTCAGTAGAGTGCAGTGGAATCATAGCTCACAGCAACCTCAAACTTCTGGGCTTAAGCGATTCTCTTGCCTTAGCCCCCCAAGTAGCTGGGACTACAGGCACCCACCAAAACACATAGCTTTTTTTTTTAGTTGTCGTTGTTTAGCTGGCCTGGGCCAGGTTCAGACCCGCCAGCCTTGGTTTATGTGGCTGGTGCTGTAACCACTGTGCTATGGGTGCCAAGCCTCATTTCTGATTATTGATATTTGGGTCTTTATGGGTCTGGCATCCTACTCCTTGAGCCACAGGTGCTGCCCCCTGGGTCTTTTTTTCTTAGTTCATCTACATAAGGACTTGCAAATTTTGTTAAAAAAAAATTTTTTTTTTTTTAGACAGAATGTCACCCTTGGTAGAATGCAGTGGTATCATAGCTCATAGCAACCTCAAACTATCCTCTTGCCTCAGCCTCCCAGGTAGCTGGGACTGCAGGCAGCTGCCACAATGTCTCAGTATTTTTCTTTTTTAAGAGATGGGGTCTCACTCTTGCTCAGGCTGGTCCAGAAGTCCTGAGCTCAAGCAGTCTACCTGTTTTGGCCTCCCAGAGTGCTAGAAATATAGGTGTGAGCCATCTCACCTGGCCTACAGGTAGTCTTGATGATCATCTAATAATTATTTAATTATGTGCTTACCTTTTTTATGTGAGAATTAACAGTAACTTAAGTATCTTTTTTTTTTTTTTTTGGAGACAGAGCCTCAAGCTATTCCCCTGGGTGGAGTGCTGTGGCTTCAAAGCTCACAGCAACCTCCAACTCCTGGGCTCAAGCGAGTCTCCTGCCCCAGCCTCTCAAGTAGCTGGGACCACAGGCGCCCACCACAACGCTCGGCTATTTTTTGGTTGCAGCCGTCGTTGTTTGGCAGGTCCGGGCTGGATTCGAACCCACCACTTTAGGTGTATGTGGCTGGTGCCTTAGCCACTTGAGCCACAGACGCCGAGCCATGACTTAAATATCTTAAGTGACTGCAATGTTTATGCTGAAAAAGCTACAGGTAATCCTATGAGAGTTCTTTTTGTGTGTGATAAATCATTTTCCTTTTTCTTTTTCCAAGTTTTTCTCTGACTTTTGATAGTTTGACTATAATATGTCTTGGCATGGGCATCTTTGGGATATATTAGTTGTAGTTTGAGCTTCTTTACTTTGTATGTCCATTTCCTTTCTCAGATTAGGGAAGTTTTTGGCTGTTATTTCTATAAATAAGCTCTCTCTCTCTCTCGTCATTATGCTTAAATATTGTTGGGCTTGATGCTGTCCCACAAGTTCCTTAAGCTTTACTTTGCTTCATTCTTTTTTCTTCCTGTTCATCTGACTTGATAAAGTCAAAAACCTGTCAGGCTTATTTTTTATTCTACCTGATGAAGTCATCTGTTGAACCCCTCTTGTGAATTTTCAGTTCAGTTATTCCTCATCTCTATAATTTCTGTTTTGCTTTTTAAGTTTCTTTTTGTTGGTATCTTCATTTTTTTCATCTGTTTTCCTGATTTTGGTTGGTTGGTGATCTGTGTTCTTTTGTAGTTCATGGAACTTATTTCAGATAATTATTTTGAATTCTTTGTCAGGTAATTCATTGATCTGTTTCTTTAGCGTTGGTTTATCGACATTAATTTTGTTCCCTTCATTGGACTGTATTTCTGTTTGTCTTAGTTTTTGCTGTTTTGTATGTTGACCATAACAGCCACCTCTCTCAGCTTTTACACACTGGCTGTGTATAAGGAAGAACTTCACCAGAAAGTCTGGTTGGAGATTCTGTGGGCCTCTTAATCTTTTATGAGAATGTGTTTTTTATGTAATTTCCCAATTGGATTTACTAATTCTTCTTTCAGGAACTTGTTTTCTCTTACTCCCTCGGGTGGCTGTCTTTGGTATTGCAGGTTCTCTGGTGCTGCGGTACGCTGTTGAACAGTCCTTTTTTTCTCCCCAGCCTCTAGGCAGCCAAAGTATGCTAGTTCTTTGTCAGCACACCAAGACAGGTGAGGCAGAAATGTGCTTCTGGGGCAGTCCACTGAAAAGACTGAATAGAATGTTGGGTGCAAGTCCTCTTCTCTTTCTTTCTCAAGAGAGAAGGTGCAAACTCTCCTCTTAATCCTGCTGAGTTGTGCTGGGTTGGGGGAACGTTGTTGTGGTTATTGTGAATGGCTTTTCTTACTCATTTCATTAGCCTGCCTGGGGTACTACAACTTAATTGTTTTTGGAGTTTCACAAAGGCTTTTTGAACTGTATATTGTGGGTTGGGGTGGATGGTTAAGACTGTGAACTTTATGTTCAAAATTCTGACTGCCATCTATTAGCCTTTTGCTCGTTTCCTGATTTGTACACTGAGGATAATGAGCCAAACAAACATGTAATAAACTACTACTCCTAGTGCTGTGTGAATCAGATGCCATCAATAATTGTGAAGTTAGCAGTTTTGTGCATTAGCTATCATAAATAAATAGCACAGTCAGCCCTTGTCTTGATCATTGCTATAGGGAGATTTTTGTTTTCCCAAGAAAAATGTAACTAGGTAGCATTTCAGTAGGACAAAGAATACAGGATATACTTTGTATTAGATCTTTCTATTGGGGGGGAACTTCAGATGAACCCTTCTTTGGGAAGTAATAGCATTAGGGACACTCATAAAGTCAAAACTAGTGCCGTGTTAGACTGTGTGTCCTTGGGTGTGAATGAGTGGTAACATTTAACAAGCACATATATGATTGGGACTGTGCTAAATACTTTGTAGGGATGATTTCATCTAATATA